AAATATATTTTCATGGAAAACACAATTCCTTAAAGTGAAAATGGATATATTGTGAAGATCAAATAAGAGGTCACCTTTATTGCCCATAGTGAATCCAAGGAAGAGACATTTGGTGGCCATAGGATCCAATTTATCTCTATTTCTAAGAAGGGTATAGGCATATCTAAGGCAACCAAAAGTTTTGAGATTGGTGTATGAAGGATGTGTTTTGAAGAGAAGCTCATAGGGTGTATGATTTTGAATGGTGGGGCTACAGATTCTGTTGACTAAATCAGTGGCATGGCTAAGGGAAAAGAACCAAAAACATATAGGGAGATTGACATGAAACAAAAGAGATCTAGTAACATTAAGTAAGTGTCGATATTTTCTTTCTACAATAGAGTTTTGTTGAGGTGTTTCAACACAACTCCTTTGGTGTATAATGCCAAGAGAATCATAATAAGAAGGCATGAGAAATTCATCACCATTATCACTCATAATGACTTTAATTTTGCAAGAAAATTGAGTATGGCAATAAGAGACAAAATTCTTAATGTGAAATCTAGTGCCAGATTTGTTAGTCATGAGGAAAGTCCAAGTATATTTATAAAAATCCTCAACAATAGTTAAAAAAGACCTAAAATCATCCATTGAAGCAATAAAAATAGGACCCATATGTTCATATGTACTAAGTCAAAGCAATTATTAGAAGTCTTATGATATCTGATAACAGGAAATTGCTTAGACATAGTATGTAAAACCTCATTTGAGGGATGGTTTAAACGATGATACCATAAGGAAGTATCTAAAGTTTCAGGATCTTTAATGCTAGCTGATCGTACCTGACCAGAAGGGATCAACGATCTTCCACGCGTCGAAGATTTGAATGCTGCTCACCAGGGTGTTGTAGAGGAGGATGAGGTGTACCTGAAACACACTCCGATGCCAAAGTAAGTGACGGACAGAGTGGAAGCAAGTACAGAGAGAGAGTAAGAAAATTAAGTTACCCGACCCTCTAGTGAATAGGGTATTTATAGTGAGACCCCAGCGCAGGGTCAACGGTTGCCTAGCACTGGGTTGGGCTGCCAGGCCCAATGTTGGCAACTACTAGGACTGATATGGCATCGCGGAGACCAGCACGTGGTCTACTCCCTAGCGTAACTGCTCCGCACTATCCGGAAGTAGGAATACCGTATCTTCCGGAGGTGGGGAGTTACCTTATGACGTGGCCACCTGGTCGGACGTGAGGGTCCTGGCCGACGATGAGGAGAGGCGAGGCTGGATGGTCGGCAACCAGGGTTCTGCTCGGCCGATGAGGGCATTCGCCCTGCTCGGATGAGAGTTGTGCCTCCGGGCCCCAGCTCGACAACGTGGTCCTATTGGGCCCAACCTCAATGGGGTTTGGACCTGTCCGATTGTGGGCTAAGCCTCGCCCCAGTCTAGAACACTAGCATTATTACAAGTATTAGCATAAGTGAAAGTGTGCACATAGTGTTTATGAAGAATGTAAAGGTTGTTATGCAGATTCACTTGTCCGATCATCCGCTTGGTAGACACATCCTGAATATAGCAGGAGTTGTGTGAGAAAGAAATCCTATAATTAGAATCATGACAGAGTCTAGAGATGGAGATCAAGCTGAATTTAAATGCAGGAATGTAGAAAACATGATGCAAGTGCAGGAAATTATTAAGAATGACAGTACCCGAATAATGAGCAGTAATACAAGTGACATTAAAAAGATAAATATGGACAGGATTAATAGTAAATATATTGGAAAAACATTGGATATGATGGCAAACATGACGGGATGCCCAAGAATCCAGAATCCACATAGAATAATTTTGAAGGGAACTACTGTTTACTGTGAATTTTGGTAAACAACCGTTGGTCTATCAATTCAAGATACAATTGACTTAACTTGCAGGATCGACCATACTAAATCCTATGACATGTGCTAAGTATGTAAAAAAGGTCAAGAATGTAAAGTGTGATGATGTAAAGGCTTTAAAAGCAAAGTCGAAAATAAAGGCTTTGAAAGGTAAAGTCGAGAGTAAGGGCTTTAGAAATAACAACTGTAATGTAAAGGCGAAGAGACTACTGCCAAACTCCACGTTCAACTGTAATTCCTTGGAGAAATAAATGACTTTTGAAGATAAAAATGCATGTAAGTAAATTGCTTGGAAAATAACTCTAATCAGAACTCCGCGTTCGACTAGGGGATCTTTGAAAAGTAAATGTGTAGCAGAATTGTAAAGAGCAGTTTAAATGTAAAACCGAAAGTTTAAAAGTGGCAAGGAAGTTGTAAAGATAAATTGCATTGATAAGAAAGGATTTGGTGTTGTATCACGTACATTCTCGTTAAATCGTTTCTCTACACGCGGGTACTTTGAGTTGTATGAACTAGTACAAAAATGAATGAACACCCTTATTACATAAAATTTACACCTATTTATAGTGCAATAGAATAACTACTACATGGCGGTTGAGACTTCTTAACATGTTCTTTTGGCGTTTCTTTGCTATTCAAACCGCTCACACGTTCTCTTTTGCTTGATTTGAATTTTGAATATTTGGTAATTCCCTCCAATTTGGCGAAACCGTCTTCGTGTTTTCCTTAGCATGGTCTTCGTCGAGCATTTTCCAACACTTAGCGTTTTTTGGCACCTTGGTCCATCTTCCTTCGACTTGAAGCTTTCCTTGATTGGGTCGAAACCCTCTCACATACCAAGTATTGATAATTTTGACATAAGATAGCTCCGGTCTCGACTAGCGTCGAAAATTAGGAGCCAACAACTACCTAAATGAACAATATCTGAGATTACTCCCTTTTCAGGATTGAAAGCCTTGTCATTCTTGAGGTGTGTGTGATTCTTTTTGGAATATTGAAGAAGCATAAAAAGATGTTGATAATCCTTTTTGGAGATAGCTTGGTCTTTGTCAGCAGTAGGAGAATTCTTTTACTCTGATGAAGACTTAGAATTCTTGTTCCTATAGCCAGGTGGAAATCCATGCTTGAAATAACAGGTTTCCACTGTATGGTTGGTTTTGTGACAGTTGGTGCACAACATAGAGAGGTTTTGGAGGTGGCTTTACTTTTACTTCTAAGGTTAGTATTATTGGCAAAAAGAATGGTAGATGTAGGTGTAAGGGCAACTGAGGAATTAACTTGTTGCTAAGCAATGAAAGAGTACACATGGGTAATGCTTGGTAAAGGGTTAAGGAGCAGTATCTGGGTGCGAATACTATGGTAGTTCTGCTTAAACCTTTCAAGAAACAGGTGACATATTCCATATTTTTAAAATTGCGCACATTTTTGGCCAAATCGCAAGTACAAGGAATGAGGCAAGTGCAAGAAGGGGTAAGACTTAAATCCTCTAATTCATCCCAAAGAATCTTAAGATCAGTAAAATAGGTGGATAAAGATTTATCACCTTGTTGAATAGAATGAAAATCACGGAGAAGATCAGAGAAGCGAAAATGATTACCTTTAGTAAATCTTTCTCGAAGGTCCTCCCAAAGATCAAAAGCAGAATCAAAGCATATAGTACTATGTGCGATATGCGCGGAAAGTGTGCGATTAATTTAAGAGAGAACCACCCTGTTTGCATGATCTCAAAGCTCATAGTTATGATCAGATACAACAGGTTTGAGAAGATTACCATTGATGAATGAAAGCTTGTTTTTGGAGGTCAAAGCTCGTCGCATCAATTTGCTCAAATTGTGATATTTGTTGTCATCCAAAGGTGGAGCGACGATAGTGGCGCCTAGGTTCTCACTGGGATGAAGATAAAAGGAATTACGAGGGTTCAAGATAGGATTCGGTGGATCGTTCTTGAGAGAATTAGGTTTTGTGGGGGTTTCTTTAATAAAGGAATTTTCATCGTCGGAAGCCATGAAAAGGAAAGAGAAAACGAGTTAGAAGCAAGAGCAGAAGGGGAAGACGATGATGAACATATTAAAGGTATAGTCTATTGATATAATATTGCAGCATATGATGTAGAAGGTGATGTGCCGCCATGGCAAGAAAAGGAAATTGAAATGAAGAAGAAAATGAAAATGTAATATGCAATTAGTATGTTCAGTACTCATACAAGAATACTATAAGAAAATGAAAATGTAATATGCTTTATATAAACCAACAAAGCCTATTACAATAACAAGGCCTAAAAGAATAAAATAAAGTCCAATTAACTATAACTATAATATTTCATATTATAAGAATTTCTCAGATTCTTATTAATTTCGTTTCACACATCATTCACAACGATATTATTTTTAGAGTAGAATGCATGTGGTATGTTTTAAGATATTTTAAAAATATATTTTTAAATTAATTAATATTTTGAATTTTATAAGATATATTTGCTTTCGAAAATATATATCCGAAATTAATTTAAAAAATAATTTTTTTATAGAATATTATTCCACTGCATAGATGGAATACCGTCTCGTTTCACATATCATTGACAATGATAGTATACTTTAAATTCAACGCTTTTTTACTATAGGAATATTTGAAATATTTATTTTTGAGTTTCTTGCACCGTAATCTTAAAAATTTTAAACTTTAAATCTATTAACTTTGCGGCGTGGCACTCCCGTCGCTTACAAATTTTCAAACCTTGTCTGCAGTACCTAATTACTTCGCCTCCTTCCTCGAAGCTTCATTGGATTGGATATACTAGTACACACTCATGTTTTTGAAATTGTAACAAAAATTAATATTGTTGCCTCTTCAACATCTATTGACTTTTCCATTCAATTTTTTTCATTGACTTTTGTCAAATTTCTCCGCTCTATTCGGATAATTGTAACACTTTTTGACTATTGTTTTTTTTTCCTCTTATTATAAATTTGAGAAAATCAAATCAGTGTTCGATGTGACATTGAAATTAATTACCAGAACCGGTCCATAGTCAAACCAACCGCTGGCAGTAAGTCACGTTTGGCAACCAATTTGATACATACGTGATCAATGATATAACAAGTTATTGAATTTTAATTATTGTAGTTGGTGAAAATGGAAGATGAGCGTGGTTTGATGATGTTTCCAATGGAGAAGAGAGCGTTGGAGTGTGTTGGTAAAGGTTTTGATCTAACAAGTGATTTTCGAATGAAATTCGCAAAGGGATTGATAAATGGTGGAAGGTTAGTGGTGGTTGATGAAGTAAACAAGAGAGATGTTATGGTTCCTGGTGGAGTTGTCATTCCAGATGTTTCCGAGGATATTCGATTCGACAAAGGTGATCGTGTTCGGTTCAAATCCGATGTTCTTCCATTCAATCAGGTGTTGTCTTGTTTTCTTTTGACAGCTCTCTTTTCTTGATGTTGTTGTTACTGTTTGTGTTTTAAATAGTCTTGGAATTATTGCAGATGTCTGAAATGCTTAACCAGAAATCAGCCATACAAGGAAAAATTCCTTCGGGCTATTTCAACGCGGTGTTTGATTTGAGTGGCGATTGGTTTCGCGATGCGCAAGAGATTAAATCTCTTGCTTTTGATGGTTACTTCATTTCTCTTTACTATTTGCACTTAAGTGCTTCACACCTGAAACTGCAAGAGGAAGTTAGAAAGTCTGTTCCAGCTCAATGGGATCCAGCTTCTTTGTCCAGGTAAGAAACCAGCAACCGCAATGCTGCATCGATCATTTTGCGATTATGAATGTTGCATGATTTTTGGATTTATAATTTGGTATAATGTTGCTGATGAGTTTAGTTAGGCAGGTTTATTGTGACATATGGTACACACATAATAGTAGGCATGGCTGTTGGGGGACAAGATGTAATATGTGTCAAACAAAAACATTCTTCCAAGGTTCCTCCTAGTGATCTCAGAAGACATTTAGAAGACTTGGGAGATTTTCTATTTTCAGATTTAAGAAGCCCTTCTCTACTTGAGAGGAAGACAACACTAGAAGACAAGCAAAAAGTACGTATATTTCTTACTTAATATTACGTCGAAGGAGTTAAAAGATCGGGGTTGGTTCAACTCAGGTGAAACAAAAAATACTAACATGACCACTAACATACTATACTATGTTACTTACCTATTGATGCAATCTTTGTTAGGTTCCAGAAGTTTTTAACCGTGTGATGCAATCGAGCACAACGCAGTTCACAAGTATTTCGGAAACATCAAACAAAGATGTAAGTCAGAAAAATAGAAATATTTGCCATTTTATAATTTGAAGTAATGAATAAAGTTTCTAAAGTATTGTTTTTATGGAATAGGGCCTCACTATAATTTGCTCGAAAAGAGGAGGAGACGTGTTTAAGCACAATCACTCAAGTTGGCTCCAAACAATGGCTTCTAGTCCTGAAGCAATCCATTTCAAGTTTGTTCCTATTTCATCGCTTCTCACCGCAATTCCTGGAAGTGGCTATCTTAGTCACGCAATCAATTTATATTTAAGATGTAAATTCTTCTCTCTCCGGTTGAATCATAATGTATTTTTGATAAGCTCTAAAATCAAAACTTATTTAAGGTCCCGTCACTTCATTTGATTTGTTTTTTCATTGCAGATAAGCCCTCTCCGGAAGACTTACAATATTTCTTGGAGTTTCAAATTCCCAGAGAATGGGCACCCATGTTTTCTGAGCTTCCTCTGAGGCATCAAAGGAAAAAACCTTATTCTCCTCCCTTGCAATTTAGTTTCATGTCTCCAAAGCTTCATATCAACTCTACACAGGTAACTTTAACCAACCCCCTCCTAAGGCTAATGACATGTGTTCGAGTTTACTCTTAAAATATTCGAGTTTACATAATGCTTTATGATTCATGATCTCAAGTTATCATCTTTTTAGGCTTTATCATTATGATTTATGACTCATTGCTAATGATGGCATTTTAATATAAAACTATATCAGGTAGTAAGCGAACAAAAACCTGTGGTTGGTCTCCGATTATACTTGGAGGGAAGGAAATGCGATAAACTTGCAATACATATACATCATCTTTCAAGCCTTCCAAATACAATGACTCTCTCTTCAACCACGACCACAACTATGTGGCGAGGATCTGACAACGATGAATCCAGTGACCAATTCGCGGAACCAATAAGATGCAAGAGATTCGCGCACGTGTGCACCTCTGTGGTTAAGTACGACCCTAACTGGTTGCACGAACTGAATTCAACCGGTGTTTATATTGTCACCGGTGCTCAGCTCATTAGCAAAGGAAGTTGGCCGAAGAATATGCTCCATTTGCGCCTTCTCTTCACTCACATACCGAATTGCAGCATCAGGAAAACCGAATGGGCTGCTGCACCAGAAGCTTCTAGAAAATCGTCTTTCTTCACGAATCTGAGCACAACATTTTCATTCACACAACAAAGTGTTACTGCTACACAGAAACAGGCTGCTCCAACTGCCCTTAACTCTGGTGTTTATCCGGATGGTCCGCCCGTGCCTGTTCGTTCTAGTAAAATGCTTAAATACGTGGAGACATGCGAGGTTTTGCGCGGCCCGCATGATGCTCCCGGGCATTGGTTGGTAATTGCTGCTAAGCTTGTGACAGAAGGTGGTAAAATTGGATTACAGGTAAAGTTTGCATTGTTAGATTACTAGTGATAGACTAACCGAGACTATATGCGAAGAAATATAGTAATATGTAATTTTTTGATGAACTACGATACAGATTATATGATACTTTTGTACAGTATACGAAATGAGTGGGAATGATTGAGTTTTCCAAATAGAAAAATAAATTTTTTGGCTATTCTGCATTCATGCATTTTAATACTTGGCAATTTGGCTAAGGCTTGGGTCAACTTATTTGATGGCAGACAATGGGAATGAAAAAAATGGATTATCTAAAAAGAGATTTCATAACTGTCTACATGAACAATCATAGCGGGGACATTTAGATATACTCTCTCTTTATTAATATGAGAAAGTGTACTTTTTAATTTCAATAAATAAAACAAATTTTAGAATAAAATTTGCTGAAAATTTTTAAAGGGACAAAATAAAATTTAAGATATTTGTAGAGATCAAAAATATTTTTAACCTATATTTTATTTAATGGTTACCATCTTAATAGATCCAATGTCTTGTACAGTGAGGTAAGTAAAACAACTTTCTTCTCCTAATCATATTCATATTCATATAATCTAGTAATCGGTAAAAAAAAAAATGGTGGGCATAAATATATGTGTATATATATTTTTGTCAACAATCAAATCAAATATATATGTTGTCATAAATAGTATGGTGTCATAAATAGTCTAAATTCAATTGTTTCCCTTTTTTTCTTCTACAATTTCACCTTTAAACTAAAAAAAATAAAAAAAACAAAAATAGAACAGTGAAATAATTTAATACAACACAATAATTGAGAAGTAGTTCGAAAAAAAAGAAGGTAAAGAAAACCTAATTTTCAAATAAAATATCCAAACTCAAAATAATTTGTTGACTTGATCTTTCTTAGTTACCATACTTTATCGTGAGTTGACCTTCATGTTTAACATTAGTATCTATTTGGTGATGTCCAGACGGCCATCATAGTCAGTCGAACTTGATTGTCTATTTGTGCGTTAGTTGAATGGACACTTTTAAATGCACTTTATTAAAGTAGAGCATCATCTCCATCTTAATCATTAATTTATATCCGACAAAATCTTGCATCTCGCGATGTATCCACCAGTGACAGTTTTAACCATCATCCTTATATAAGGGTGACACTTGATCACCCTAAGGTATGATTCCATTCACACACTTACAAGTTTTATATTTCTCATTTGCTGAATTAAACATTGGAGTGTCACAAAAGACACCTTCCACCGTGCTAGAAACCTTTTTCATGATGGTCATTACCAACTTACTGCTTATTTTCTGTTTCACACCAGAGTAATGACACAGTTTATGGGAATCATCTTCTGATTCTCTTATGTTGCGCCACCGCAACCACTTTAGTTACCATTTCCAAACCATCGTATCTGTTTTGGTTACCAAAATCAATCATTGTTTATCTTTTTGAAATTATTCATTAAAATCATCTCCAAATGCTAGATCCAAGGCGACACAATCCACCACTTTCTATAACATTATCCTCACGTCTAACGAGCAATTGACAATCCAGATGTTTCAACATATTATTGTCCTACTTAGATGAGAACCAATATAATGTTCCTTCGCAAATAACAACTCAACTTGAGCTACTGTGACATCTTCACTCCGAAGCTTCATTAAGGGTCATTTTCGTCAACGCCGCATCACAACGGTTTCGTCTTGGAATCGAAAATGGATGCAATTGCTGACTTTAGGATCTTGAACCGATGATCTTGATCTTTGATACGACAATACATGGTAGACTTGCAAGATTAGCACTTCAATGTCCAATTCAATCCAAGATTTAAGACCAATGTAGTAAAAAGCGAAGATCAGAGAATGTACCTTTCTTCTTTCTTTTTGTGTGAACTGACTTTTATATCTAAGAACAAGTAGGATGGATTTGAACATTAGTCGCGAGATTACACTATTTCTAACACAATTGACTCTGAATTTCACAGATACAAATTTATTAATAATTTTTTTATCTTTTAAATTATTTTATATCTATCTGTCACACCACTCATCATTATAAATAACAAAAAGAGAGCAGTGGTCAATTGATCGGTCATTAAAACATTCTAATTCCAGTACCTTTAATTAAAAATCATGGATGTTAACAAAATAAACCTTGTGACACAATCTATCCATCCAAGTTCATTCAGAAAACCAAAATGAAGAATTGCCATCACTCATACAATAACCAAAACCTTCTATAAGATTTGTGTATGCCGACAATATACTTTTCCAATTTATTTAGAGAAAAGTTTCTCCCATGCCAATGTTCCATAACGGTTCATGTTTAATATATTTTGTACTCAATATCCAAACAAGTACTTTGTTATTACCATCTAATAAAGGGGGTGGAATCATTTCTTTTGTTACTCTCCAATATCTATAGAAGTAATAATAGCTACTAAAAACACACAAGTATTAAAATTCGAAATCTTCACGTACATCCTAACAAATCATTTGCTAATTGAGTTAGCTTTGTGGATTAATATTTCTCTTTTTATTAAAAATAATAATAAGTAAAATTAAGAGAGAAATATAGTCGTGTCAAAGAGTAGAACAAATTAAAATAACTCAAGTCCCTAGTTTTTTAACTAAGCATGGCCACTTCTGTTATGCTATCCACTTCTTTCTCTCCCACGTATCACCCATCCCTTTTCCGTCCCTCTTCTTCCATTCCATTCTCCAAACCAAAACTATCTTCACATTCCTCCTCCAATTCGCCATGTTGGAACACAAAACCACTCTCTCTGCATCACACCTTCAACTTCAGCTTCATTACTCGTTCTTTAACAAAGGACGAAAACTCGTCGACCTTCGTCGGCGAGGATTCCGCCGTGTTCGATTTGACGAAACAGAAAATATCTTCCTGGATTTATTTCACCGCGATTTTAGGAGTTGTTCTCTTCGTTCTAAACGTAGCTTGGATTGATAATTCAACTGGCTTCAGCAAAGCCTTCGTTGATGCTGTTTCAGGTCTTTCCGATTCTCACGAGGTCGGTACCTAATCGCTTATTCTTCATCGTGAACTTATTCTCAATTTGTAATTGACCTTTGTTATGTTACTCTGCAGGTGGTAATGTTGATCCTATTTCTCATATTTGCTGTTTTCCACAGCGGCATGGCTAGCCTCCGCGACGCCGGCGAGAAGCTCATCGGCGAAAGAGCTTTTCGTGTTATTTTTGCAGGGATATCACTACCTTTGGCCGTCACTACCGTTGTAAGTTTCTATTATTATGCGAAATGCTTTATTTCGATTTGATAATGGAAGAACAAAAGTTGATTCAGAACTAACTTAGTTTTTCATCAATGGAATCATGATGCAGGTGTATTTTATTAACCATAGATATGATGGAGTTCAACTCTGGCAGCTCCAGAGTTTTCCTGGGATTCATCCATTTCTGTGGCTTTCCAATTTCATATCTTTCTTTTTCCTATATCCTTCAACCTTTAATCTTTTAGAGGTTGCAGCAGTTGACAAACCTAAAGTACATCTATGGGAAACTGGCATCATAAGAATAACCAGGCATCCACAGGTATTAATTACTCTTAACACTATACAAGTGAGTTCGAGTATCCACTTGATTTTTCTGGATTTCTTTGCTTGGACCAATAATCAATCTGCTTTTAATTAAACCGTTGTTTTTTTCATAAGAAGATTCTTGCTTTTCTAGACAAGGTTGTCAAGATTGGGATCTTGCATAAGACAGGGAGGGGATAGTAAGATCGTAAAACAGAAGGTCGTAACTAAGATTGGTAGATTTTATCCAATTATTTTTATAAGATTAAGAGGATAGCAAAATCATAAAACATTAATGACCAAAGACCTACCTATTAGAAACAACATGAAGAGAAAGGATGTACATTACATGATTACAAGGTGTTTTGAGTATTCGAAGGTCCAATCCTGTTATGATCCTAAAACATATGATCATGACAAAAATCGTAAGATATTACTAAAACGAAAAAATAATACTACTTATTTGAAGTTTTTTTACATGATATTTTGGTAGACAAGTGTATTTGTGGGAAAATGGCCTCTACCCAACCATAATTGTTGCGCGTCGACATCTTGACGTTCTTCTTGACTTGTAACTGTGGTGATCGAAAAACATCCGGAACTGGGCAAGATCGCACATAATCTATGATTTTATGATTTTTTTTCACAATTTGGCTACATCAAACAATTCTATTTAAGATTGGAATCGTTGGGGGTGAGTGGGATCGCAAAATCGTAAGATTTTAAGATCTAGATTGTGATTTTGACAACCTTGTTTGTAGATGCAAACTAATATGGTTGGAACATCACTAATACCTATATCTATATATTAAGAGTAGAATTGTATTCTCCTAAAACATCCTCAAATACTTGTCTAAATAGATATGATTGACACCTTTTCTATTTAGACGCATTTATTTCGCCCGGTCTTGATTGCTGAGTGAAGGATCTGTTTTGTTCTTCAGTTGGTTGGGCAGGTAATCTGGTGTCTTGCTCATACAATTTGGATTGGAAATTCAGTGGCTGTTGCGGCTTCAATTGGCTTAATTTCACATCATCTATTTGGTGCTTGGAATGGAGATAGACGATTGGCTATAAGATACGGAGAAGATTTTGAGATAGTTAAGCGCCGAACAAGTATTGTCCCTTTTGCAGCAATCCTTGATGGCCGTCAAAGATTACCCAAAGATTTCTACAAGGAGTTTATTCGATTACCATACTTAGCGATTACTGTAGTAACACTAGGAGCTTACTTTGCACATCCCCTTATGCAGACTGCTAGCTTCAACCTCCATTGGTAGGTGGAAACAAAACATTTTGTTGTTTTCATGTAAAATCTAATGTTCAGGAGGGAAACTCTAATGCCATGTGCTGTAATGTGCTTCAATAGACAGGGACAAAAAATCGAAGAAAAGAAAGTATAATTGATTGGAAGAGAACAGAAAAACTGACAGATCGTGCAGTTTCGTAAACCCCATCTCTTAATTTTATGACCCAGAAACAGGGTCTGTCACTCTGTATTGTATACATAAACCATGTACTATGGTGTACAATGACGATTCATAGCTAACTTGTAACTAAAATTTGTAGATGATTTGTAACTTAAAAATCTATAGTTTATCAGTTACATATTGTTATGGATGAGTTACACTACCATAGATCATATGAAGCTGTCTCATAAAAGCATAAGATTCTATTAGCTGTAAAAATGAAATCCTACTCATTTGTTTTCAACTAGCATAAGATTCTATATCTTTCAGCAGAAACATAGAAAAAACTTCCCAACTTGTTTCCACATTAAAGTTACATTTTAACACAAAGTCACAATCCATATTTGTATAAAATTTTAGAATGATTCTCATAACAAAAAAAAGAAAGATGCACAACACCAAAACAAGTAGCTAAAACTTCTCATACAGATATATAGAAGTAATACATAACATCATCCAGCACCCAATGTTATTCTTATTGGAATCACAGCCATACAGATACTGACCAATCTTGCAATACAAGATTTTAAACGAACTTATATATGCTGCTGATTCATCAAAAAAATTCCTCAATGTGATATAAATTTTTGCAATATTAACTTTGTGGAGGAAATGGTACCCATCCCACCAAGAAGAAACCCAAATATGACTAAAGAAATATTAAGGACCAAGAGAAACCTTGTAACTTTACCCCAAAAAATCTTCAAATAGAAAACACATGGAAAAACCAAACAAATGGCCACACTAAGTAGTGAACCAGTGAGGCTAAGCACATGTTCAAAATATGGCACTGATAGAGCAAAGACTAGTATGGTCAATAGCAAAAATGAAGCTACACAACCCCTTATTACCAATTTCGTCCTGCTACGCAAAGAATTTGGAAGTGTATGTTCAAGATGAATTGCAAAGGGTTCAAATTCAAGTGCATATTTAGTCAATGGTATCAACACGGTTGCCCATAGAGCAATCTTTGTTATGATTTGATTTGATGGCATGCTGAGAGTTATCTGAGATTGAACATCGTTTCCATACATTTTTGCACCCATGAATCCCATTGCGGTGTAAAATGCTGTAACTATTGTGAAGCTCACAACTGAAACCTGAATTTCACAAACCAAAGATAGATTTATTTGATAAATAACTCATAGTTTTATCAAAAAAGTAGATTAAAAAGACTATAATATATATACCTTGGTGAACTTGGAGGGGTCTTTCATGGATTTATACAAGTCGGGAAACACAATATGTCCTCCATAACCAAAGACATAAAGACCAGATATTGATGGAATATTATGTAGCTTGAAGACAGGTATACTATGATTATCACCAGCTTCACCTCCTCCAAAAATTGCAGTGGCTACTACACACACGAAAACGAGAAGAGACATAACAATTCCACCGGTTGAAAGGAAAGATATAGAAGACATATCTCTGATCCACAAACTAGGCAAAGCAATCAAGATTGCCAGCAAGGTTAGGATTTGCGATGATGTTAACATAGCGAATTTCAACTTCAGATGAGTCCCTATAAAAACAGTGATCAAGTTATCATGCAATGAGATGGTGTAGGATACAAGTGCCATGAAGATGTCCATGTAGATGATTGTTGCAACTAGGTATCTTCCTTTTGTTCCAAATGCTAGATTCCCAATATCCACATAACTTGTTAAATTTGGATTCTTTTCAAGACATTTTCCTAGTATGTGAGATGTATACGCACATATTACCCCAAGTCCTATAAGCAATATTGCAGATCCCCACCCTCCTTTTTCAACAGCGTAAGGAGTCGATAATTGCCCCAAACCTGAAATTAGTATTATGATTACTTTTTCAGTTTCTTGCAACACAAGGAATAACAAATATATAAAACAATATGCAAAATTTACCTATGAGCATTCCCACCATGTTGATAACAGCATGAACAAAAGAACTATCAGAGTCGACACGCGCGTCTTCTGCAGTAGTACTGTTCTTTCTATCCTCGACAGCAACGATGTGGTCGCAATTGCATTGTTTGTTTTCCTCTACGCAGTCATTGCAATTCCGCAACTCTACAGACAAAGCTACCGAGTTTTCACCATGATTACTCCTTTTTTTGATACAGTAGTTCGATCGAAGGGATAAGATTTTCCTCAAGGATTTCAGCATCTTACACTGAAGTAAATAATTAAGCGCTGTTAATAGAACCTGCTAACCAAATGGCATGCAACGTGACTATTTATAGTTGGATAAATATTTGTTTATTTGGCCATATCCTTTTGTTGATAAAGAATCAAATCCAATTCAAAAGCATGACGCTAACTTTAATTTAATCTTGCAAGAAAATATAATAACAGTAGTGAGAATGAATATGTGAATATTTCACATTATTGGTAAGTGCGGTGTCATATCGTATCGAATACACTCTGTATAAAACCATATGAAGTGTGAATATATGAAGAAATGTTTTCTCTCTAGTATTTTTTTACCTAAAAAGCATGGAAGTTGATAAAATCAGAAGTTGGATATGTTACTTTCGTTCTATTGCCAATATTTGGAATCACATTCTCAACATTCTTTTCAACTTTCCTATTTTCCAAAAGTCTTTCACCATGACATCACAATAGAGGTGTGTTTTTTTACCTTGACATAAAGGTAATAACTATTATAAATTCACACTCAAAATTAGATTTTTTTTTTCTAAATAACCACTTTTTCCAAATTAATTTTCAAATTAGCAATCTTACCCAACAATATATATTATAAACTACCCTAGTTTTGAATTAAAAAAATTCGCAGCAAATAGCATATGTTAGATTAATTGACGTCTTTTAATGCATGCGTCAGGTTCATTGAAGTCTATGTGCATTTTCCATTACATGTATAAATTGGCCTGACGCCAATGTGTATTCATTTTTGTTTTATTTATTATATGTATGTATCAATTGATCTGACATCAATGTATATTTATTTTTATTTTATTTGTTATATGTATATACCAATTAATGTGACGCCTAAATATAATTTTGAAAACATGAGTCAATTGATCTGACGCATATTCTTTATTGCAATTAAAAAAAATTGTTTAATATATAATTGAGAAGATAGTTATTTTAGAATTAAAAAAAAAAATCCACAAAACTACGGTGTCTTAATTTGAACGCAAATTGAATGACACTAAATTTTAGTCCGAATTTCATTTTGCTCTTATTGATTAGTTCCACAATCATTTGATAATTTTTTGGAAAGGATTGATATTCTTTCTTCTATTTTTTAAGGGGGTTAAATATTCCAGTTTGGTTGTTTGAGAAGGAATTTTATTTTATTTATTATTTTGGTTAGAAGGAATTGTATTTTGGGTAGAAGGGAATTTCATTTAGTTAACTGTGTACAAAGATACCATAATAAGGATTTCATTTAAAAAAAGGAAAGATACGATTTAGTTGAAAACGGAACGTGACGTATATCCAACTAATTCTTAAAGAAAAAGGTTAATCCAACCAAATAAGAAGTGCATGTGCTAGTAGTACTATTTATTCCAGACCTAGCTACCTGGTATTAATGAATACTGATATTATTATTCTAAAAAATATCTTAAGGCACTCTCTAATCTTGTCAAAAAATAATATTCGCCTCTTTATTCTAACTAAATAGGTAACTAAATTGTGATTAGGACAATTCTCTTATGGCGTTATTAACTATTATAGATCTCATATAAAGATTTACATGCAAATACTCTAAAGATTAAGTTAATGACAATCATAAATATGAGGTTTATGGTTTTAGAATAATATGTATTTGGATTTGGCTCACAATCGCATTTTTATAATTGACACTAGTATAAAAAGTATCATTTTTAACGTCATTTCACCTTAAGCAAAGTATCTAATATTGTAAAATGTATTCACTTAGATGTTTTTTTATTTATTTTTTATTGTCATTTTAAAGTCATTACAGTTGACACTTTTAATCGTGGTGAAAAGTGATATCTGATCTAGAGTTCGAATTCTAGCCTCTACAATTTTGTTTCATATTTATTTTTAAGCTACTTTTATCACAGTTGAAAGTGACGTATGGTCATGAGTTCAAATCCTAACACCTACAATTTTGGATTTTATTTATTTTAAGCTACTTTTTATGACGGTTGAAACTTCTAACCGTGGTGAAAAGTAACGCATGGTTGTGAGTTCGAATTCTAGCACCTACAATTTTATTTTTATTTATTTTTAAGTTATTTTTTTACCACGGTTGAAACTTAGTGAAATGTCACTTAAGCTCATGGAGAATTAAAAGCGTGTTTATTGAGTTTCTTCACCGTTTTTAAACAAATCTTTGTCGTCTATTTAATGAGTATTAACGCTCAAGACACTACCATTAGTGATATGCGTGAAACCTAAAACTTAGATGAACGTCCAAATTAGACGAACTTCATCTTCTACCTCTAAACGTCATATTTCATTTACGACACTCTATTTCTCTACTAAACTAAACTCGAAAACATCATTTCTTCAATAAACAAAACTCGAAAACATTATTTCTTTCATTAGCAAATTTCAAAACTTCATCACCTATTCTCCAACTTGAATGAGACTAGAAAAACATGGATTTAAGTTAGCAATGTTAGTTGTTGTTGTTCTTATACCTGATCAGTAAAAGATTTACAGAAAACATCACAGAGTAAGACACATTCTTGTTGATGCCTTGTCTCACTATGAGTACATAAACATCATTGACAAGTCTACTACCAAAACTATTTTTAAATCTTTATATGCTACCTATGAAGGCAATCAACAAGTTCAAGAAGCTAAAGCTAATCTTTTGGTTCAACCATATGAGCTGTTCAAAATGAAAGAAGATGAGGACAATGAAACCATATTTTCAAGGTTCCAAGTTCTTGTGTAAGGGCTTCAAATTGTGAACAAGAGTTACACCACATTTGATCATGTTAAGAAGATTCTTAGGAGTATTCCTGTCATATACAAACCTAAGGTAACAACTATTCATAAAGCTAAAGACCTAAACGCTATAAGTCTTGAAAGTCTGATAAGTAATCTCCAAAGCCATGAATTATAACTCAATGGACACGATGACCAATAATTACACCACATTTGATCATGTCAAGAAGATTCTTAGGAGTATTCCTATCATATACAAACCTAAGGTAACAACTATTCATAAAGCTAAAGACCTAAACGCTATCGGTCTTGAAAGTCTGATAAGTAATCTCCAAAGCCATGAGTTATAACTCAATGGAGACGATGAACCAATAAAAAAAATTAAAGTCTATGGATGAAATCTGTTGGGAGGTTTGAGAAATCTTCTCAGACCTGGGAGCATAAAGTAGCCACCCATGATGAAGATTTTGATGAAGCTTCTTATAATGATGAAATGGCTTTCATCATAAAAAGATTTCAGTAACTTGCTAACAATAACAAAAAGTTCTCTGACAGAAGATCTGGTTTTAGAGGGACAAGCTCCAGAGCTAACAAGGATGATCAGAAAGGTTACTTCAACTGTCAGAAGCCTGGTGTTGCACCCTAATTTTTGACCGTAAGATTCCACCTCCTTTTTGTTTTGTATTTTATACTTTTATGCGAATTTCTATCGTGACTAACGAGTGTGTGTAGGTTCATTTTACTTAAAAGACATCTCAGGTGGATTTGTACGACTACATCACCTTAAATCGAGGTTTTGGCCCTTCTCAAGTTTTTTTTCCATGAAACGGGACCCCGGGCTCATAGGAAATTAAGGCTTTTTAGCCTGCTTGTGTGAGATGATTTTGGATTCAAGATTTGATTTGGTGCATTTCATGTGGATTTCAAGATTTTTGTCCTCCATCAATTTGGTTCATATGATTTTTTTGGATTCAGCCTGTTTTAAGTAGAGATTCCTCAAAATTCAAGTTCAATCATTGTGAGGTATCTAAATTCAAGTCAATTCCTAAGTCCAAAGTATCTAGTTCTCCATCATAAGGTTAAGATATGCAAGTTCAATTTACAACACTATCTTTTTTATTTGATTTAAAATCTACCATCCAAGTTACGAAGTTCATATCATTTAGAGGTGGTTTATTTTTGGAGAAGAAAGAGTTTTATCCAATTTCATAATAAGGTTCCAGGATTAAGAGCCTCCAACTTGAAGAATTGATTTATTGGGCCTCCTGAAAGCAAGTTATTATAAGATAATGTGAAACTTGAATTGTTTCAGCTTGCATAAAGGTGGTCACTGAGGCACATAGTCAAAATTCTGTCAAATTATATATCAGAAATTACCCCTCATATGCGTATAGTATTGGTCAACTAGCTAATTGAGGTACACTTCAAGTATTGATTTGATGCCAGAAACACTATATCTAACAGTGACATTGTTGGATCAGTATCTTTCTCAAAGGACTCTAAAAACAAATGACACGCAGTTACTTAGTCTTACAGCACTCTTACTGGCTTCAAGGTATGAAGACTTTTGGCATTCGAGGGTAAAAGATTTGATTAGCATTTCGGCTAAAAACTTATACTAGAGATCAAGTGTTTGGAATGGAAGAAGCTTGTTCTTAGAAATTGAAGTTCCGTCTAGATGCTCCCACTCCTTACGATTAGGCTGCACGATTAAATGTGAAGCTGGAACACATGGTATCCTTTCTCATTGACCTGTACTTGGTTGAATATGAAGCTTTAGCATTCAAGTCTCTGTCGCTGTGTGCATCAGGTCTCTATTTCGCATGTTGTACGTCGCAAATAAACCCTGCACAAATCCACCACAAATCGGAAGAAATATTAGGGTACTCAGCCCCACTGATACGTTGTGAAATCTGTGATATTAAGTTCGAGAAGGAACATAAGCTACGTGAGAAGTCGATGAACATAGTACCTCTAAATGGAGTAACCCAGTACTTATGCTGAACGCAGAGAACAATATCATAACCATGGCTACGTGGAGAGCGAGTTCTGGGGTCGTGTGCTCTTGATGATGCTAAAGAATATACGCCAATTCTATTTTCTATCAATCTCTGAGGAGCCGGAGAAAGCTTCCTTCGCATCAGTTCCTGCGGAAAGAGAAACAGAGATCTTTAGCGCTTTTGATTCAATTACAATAGCTTTATTGAGCTGAAGAAATCAAGTGCTCGTTTGTTACAGAGAAAAGGTTGTATGATCACAGGCAAAATATCCCTC